TATATTCATTGAATATGTATAACACTTTGGTTTTCCGTATAATATGTTATGGGATTAGACTTATGTCCCCGAGATAACACTTAACGATTGATTCGATCTCCTGTTTTACAAATTTAAAGGAGAGTAACAATTAAGTGGATTTCCCCTGATATTGCCTTAACCCCGTATCACAGTGAATTTATAATCTTGTGTCATAACGTGTAAATTAGAACGATTACTAGAAAAAAATATAACGGAAAATTACTTTGTATGTGGTATCTGTGGCTAATAGCGGCGTGCGTATTGTCTATGTTTTTTGTCTTATTATCTGTGGTATTGTACCGAAGGTTGCGGGTTTACCTAATTACTCTACAGGCAGGCATTGTTCTTAGAAAAAAATCCCCTAGATTACATGCTTATATCATAGAGTCCATCTTGAAGTTAAGATTAACATCTTTAAGCTTTAAGATGAATTAAGATGTGTGTAAAGAAATTTCCAATGGAAGTTTTAATAATCAATGTTGCCTGTAATAGGTATATTAATATAATTTCTTTGCTTTTTCTGCTCTTGTGTTTGAATCTCAGGGAAATTTAGTGAATTGCTTCAGTCAAGATTGATCGATGATTCAACCTGTCATCAAAATGGAAAGATCTCAAGCCCCTTTCTGAATTAAAATGTATCGTCTTCGTTTACATTGTATATGCTTTATTAAACCATAAATATGTAGATTAAAAAACCATGCTTCAAATGAAAGAAAAGTCCCGTGTCCCCATGTGGTACATTTGACGACCACATTAGTGTGTCCTATTCACTAATCGGTTTTATAATAGGCAAGTAAAGAAATATTATTATCCCGAGAAACTAACCCAGGACTTAACGCAATGCTTGACAACGCGTATAATCTTAAAGTTATGTGGGTTTATTATATTTGGAACACAAACCCGACAAGTTAATAATCTCGCGATTAAACTAACAACCATGTACATATTGTAATATAATTATCAGTTTCATAGTCGAAGGACCAGGAATAACCCACTGACACAATTTTTATAAAAACTGACATTAGCACGCGCAGCGGATCCGTTTCTATCACAAGATGATCTATTACGAGATAAGGTTACGTCCACAGTGACACGTAAAAAATCTATACTAATTATAGAGCTGAAGAGTTTGTTTGTTTGAACGTGCTAATCTCGGGAACGACTGGTTAGAATTGAAAAATTATTAATGTGTTCGTTAAAGCATTTATCAAAAAATGATAAGCATTTTCCAATGACACTGGAAAATGCAGAAAAAAGCGAAGATAATTTCATCTTTGTGGGTTTCCGCCATATGCTCTGCAAAACGGTATTAAATAATGAATCGTCTATAAACAATCTTAAAAAATGTTCCCGACAGTATATTATGTGTTTTTTTACGATTGTATCAACGGGACGGGAATTTGTAAAGATGACGAGAAGGTTTAAAAATCTAATTTTGATCCCCAAAATATATTACAAACGAAGTGGCGACTGTAGCTAGTACTATAGTATAAAGTTTGTTAATTATAAGTTGCAAAATCACCTCTTAAACCTGGGGCACTGAAAAACGGGGCTTCACCGCTAGTCTTTTCAGTGTAATATATATTTAAGTATATTTGTGTCTGGCGCTACTATATATATATGCTATATATATTTTTGTTGATGTAAAATAGTCTTGTTACTCTATGTGCTCTATATTTGTCTATTTTTTTTATAGTTTGGCATATTTTTTATCCACTAACTTAACAAAACTTTTCTGGTCTAAACTATTTAAGCAATTTAAAATATTTTTTTTATCATAATAAATAAGTTAATAATGTGTTCTACACGACTTTTTTCTAACATTTTTTATTAGAAGAATAAGTAAATTGAAAACTATAATGTTTTTCTCATGTTATTGCACATGGAGGCACTTATAATTTAAAAATCGAAAATAAATTGAAAAAAAATTTCGATTAGGGCAGGACTTGAACGCATCGTCAGCGTTCCGGTAGCTCAATTGGTAGAGCAATTGGACGGAACGCTAACGATGCCGGTTCAAGCCCTGCCCGAGCCGAAATTTTTTTCAATTTATTTTCGATTTTTAGAATAATTAATTTTTAACAATAATCAGTTATAAGCAAAGATCCTAGAAGACTAACTCCCGTGTACACGCGCCTTAACGATATAGTAATTATGCGCAAATTCACAAAGTTTTTGCGGTTTTTACTCTTTTTATAATATGCGCTTAGTAATGTATATTGTATTGTTTCTTCTTCATGGAAACTTTATCTTTAATCTAAGAGATACTTGTTCTTAGATTTTATTAAAACTGTTCTTGTCGGCTTCTTATACTGACTAGTAAATCTTAGAGTACATTATCTTTAGTTTTATTATTTTTTTACTTGTTCCATGATAGCTATGTATGGTATCAACGGGTCGTGAGTTCGAATCCCACACTAATTTAGTTATAAATGTAATTTTAATTTTTTGAAACAAGTCTAGATTTTTTTATAAAATCTGGACATAAAAGGTACTTACTGTATCTTCTTGTAGTTCCAACAAGACATTAAAATTAACTTGAAATAACACACTTACAGAATACATAGCGGTGTAAAAAAAACAATGTTTTAAAACAACAACAAAAAGCTTTTGTGAAAATCAGATGTCAGTAAAATTCATTTGAATATTTCGTTAAATATGAAATTGGTTTGGTTGCTGTCAAGAAAATGTTAAGCGACTGCTATTTTTTATGAGTCCTAAATCATTAAATCCAGCAATGCAAGCGAAGTTAAGGGGAATCCTAGTATGCATATTAAATTCTAATTTTCGATAGGAAGCGATTCTACTACGCCGCTACGAGCGTAGCTAATTTGTAGACTTCCTGCTACGTATCACTAGTTTCACATCCTATATTCGATCCTTGACTAGTATTTTCACAGAATTTAATAGATAAAAATGTACTTTACCATTAAAATCAACTTAAACCATGTCTGTAAAATCGGTTCTAAATTTAAAATAAATCAACTAATACATTTGGCGTTCTAATCCGTTAAGTAGTATTGCTACCTTCACTTGCTCTTATTTGTCGATAATTTTGTCATCACTCTTAAAAATGCACCGTTCAATACTATACAATTGTTACCAATGCTCATACTCTTTGAAAAAGTTGAACATCTTTCTATGTATAGTGCGTTAGTTTTATAAAGGGGAGTCCCCGTACAGTGTAATGCATTCTGCTACAGGATACATATTAACAGTAAGGTTATAAAATGATAATAACACACAATGACGTAAGTTTTATTAAAATAATACTTAGACCACCTACTTCTCAAATTTTTATAAAACATGAAACGACATAGAATTGTTTCGTATATGTATAATAGATTAGTTTGATAAACACGATTTACAATAGGTATTTATTATTTCCAAGGTTGAAATTTCGAAATTATAAGCAATTTCGACTGTAAAATATTGACGTTTGATGAATAACTTGCCTGTAAATGGGATCATTAAGCAGACATAACAAACTCACTATGCCAGAAGTAGGTAAAACAGAATTTACTACGATATTGACGAAAATCTACGTCCTTATGGAGGCGTTTTAGATAATGAAATCATGGAGGCTATTGCGTAACAAACGTATATACTGTGCCTCAAATAAAATTTATTTTTTTGCCGGGCACCTTCCAACTGGTCCAAATATTCTGTAGCTGTAACGGACGCGGAAAATGATGCATTTTTGTTGGCGCGGGCGCATTAGAATTTCTCAGAAAGGTCAGGGATCTATCTGGCGTCGTAGCAATGTATGAGGAAAACATTGTCAACTAATTGGCTATTATCTAATCAATCATGTGGATGCATTGATAGTGTACAATTAACCGTATGACTGTTTGCATAACTAACTTTTGTATATACTATTTTGTTATTTGATATTCATAGACTTGATATTTGGGCGGTAGTTTGTAATAATAGTTAAAAATTACAACAGAATATAGAATCTCCGGTATTCTATATTCAAATCCCATGGGAAAATATTGTAGGTAGTTTGGATCGGACCTACAATAATATGTACAAGCAATTTTTTGAACTGAATTTTTGTTACCGCAACGGAATAAAACAAGATATTATAAAATTAATAAATTCACTTTTATTTAGGACTTCTTCAGTATTAAGATAATACAAAGACTACTTGCTACAGTTTTATAAAGCTCTTATATAGCCTTAATAATTGAGTAATAATTATAATCTGTGCCAATAATAAGTCACTTTATATGTACACTGATATTTGCGCCTGCGCAATTCTTACAGATATTAATAATTTACCTAATTAACCTAACTAAATTAATATACAACTGGACGCTCATACATTTGCGAGTATAATAAATTACTAAATAAGTACAAATAAATTAAATTGTGACCTGAACATTGAGATTCCATGCCTTTGGCACTTATGTAGACTAGATCTTAGAACTAACACTGTACAATTATAAATACGTTCTAATACGTTAGAGAGCAAAAAGTCATGTTCCTATCTAGTTAAATCAACCGAAGGTGACTAGCATTCGTAATTCTAAATTAATACCTATTATAAATATCACATCTTAGGAATAGCGCGTCGCGCATCAGTTTAATACTGTATAGGCAATAATTATAAGTCAAAATGTACATAGAACGTCAGAGATCGAATGTGTCTCTTATATTAAAACTACGTATGGAACATTAGGTTAACTCACAGCACCGTTTGGTCCCATATAATTATAAAATAGTGGTTTTTCGAACTTCTTTACCATCATCGTTGAGATGATCACGACGGGGCTATACATCAGTCGCAAGTTGAAAAACCACAGATTGCATATTGCATAGCTTAAGTACTTATAAATAATACTGTTCAGATTCCGAAAATAATACACTCCCAAGTTCATATCCTGTGATATCACACATCGTGGGGAACAATTGTTTTTGCATCAGTCGTTTTCAAAGTCACTGAGTTCACTTCACTGAACAGGATCATAGTTCGATCACCAGCTTGTGACCCGCTTTCGTGGTTCGCAAGCGCACTTTGATCTATTCCACCTCATATTCATATTTCTCTGTAAAGAAACAAATAGATCATGAGTTTCCGTATTAAATTTTTTGTAAATTGACCACGTCCAATATTTAAATAACGGTGTCATTCTAGTACTTTTACATTTAAATGTTTTCAACATTATATGAAATTTAAGTGCACAATAACATAAATATTCTTTAGCATACGTCCAGAAATTAAAATGCAATTTACTTGCCTATCTCAAGCACTTGAAACCAAGGTATTGCATTTTCCTTTTTGAAAAAAAAAACACAAAAAGCCGAAGTAAGACAACGGATGTCAGCAAAAAAAAACGGCAAATGAAAACGGTATTGTCGAACAATATCCATGCAACACAGCTTATTAAAAAAAAAAATAAATAATAAAACATTAAAAGCATTGTTACTATGAGCGTGCCGTTACCTACGTTAGTTAGACATCCATTATCTTACAAACCTTTTTGAGGCATTGCCGTCTCTCTTCCATGTTGGGGCACTGACAGGAACACTTACGAGGGTTGAACACTTTGGGGGCGACGCAGTCTTTCGCCCCAACGAGGCAGCAGCCGCAACTCTCGTGTACGTCCATCTCGTACGTGGAGCACGTCTCCTTCTTGGTTTTTAGGTTGAATATTCGAACCTGTAACAATTAAAACATAAATTAGTCAGAAGTTTACATCACTTTCATATTTTTATTAAGGGTTCGTTTGGTGAAAGGGTTGTGACTACATACCTACATATATTGTGTATGCGCAATCTTTACAAGAAGAAAGAAGTTTAACTATTATCAAAGTAATTTTAAAAAAGTCAAATTGTTGTATTTAAATATGTACTACTCGCGTAAACTACTCACGAGCTCTTAAAAATGCTATACTGTTTTAGACAGAAATTGGGTATTTTAGAATAAGTAATGGCTAAATATAATGTTAGGGACGAAGTTACGTAACGTATAACGCTAAGCGTAACGTAAGTGTGTCAAGGATGCATAATTAGCGGTGATTAGTTCTGAACATGACTAGACATTCAAATATTTTGTTTGAAAAATTGGGGAATTTCAACTTTGCCTTAAGCTAATAATATTAAAACACGCACTGAATTATTAACGGTCTTTTAACAAATGGCTGTGTTTGCCGTTGACGTCGTTTTTTGTATTTGCAGTTTACAAATAAAGTTAATGAATTTTTAATTCAAATCATATTTTCGTGACCCTGTCTGGTGAAATCTAACCAAACTGTCTTAAGTAAGGATGTTCTAATTTATTATGTTTTTATTAGTATACAAACTTTTTGTACTGCATAAATTGACAAATATCCAAATTAAATTACTCTTATTCTTCTTCTTTCTCTATCATGTCATTCTTCCTAAACTGAACTTTCTCTTTTCTGAATTATTATTTAATCGGTTATTATTACTATTTTAAGTGTATTTTGTACAGTTTATTAAGTATTAAATAAGTTACGCACTTCTGTACATTGTCTAGTTTAATTATTAAGTTTTTACTCGGGTTGCCTGGAAGAGATCCCTTATAGCGGTGAGGTCGTACGGTGCACAGTTGTAAAATTTAATAGTGTATCTGTACCTTGTGTTATAAATAAATGTTATATGACCAGAGTAATCAAAAGACAACATTGATCCATTACAAGATGGTGGAGCTACGTACCGGTATCTGTTCCTTTCTGATCCTCGTCGGAGTGCACTGAGAACCTGAGGCTTCGTAATCGCAAAGCCCCACGCACCGCTTGACCCAGACGTGGCTTGGCGACACCTGGGGAAACACAATAACGTCACTTTAGGTACATAATACTTACATTCGGATGCGGATTTTCTCACGGATGTACTCGAGCAAATATTTCAAGCGTGCCTCGTTAAATATTCATTTTTATGTTATATTAATTAGACGCGTCTTATTAGGTACAGTCCCGCGTGTATGGGGTACTTTTCAATAAATTAATGTAGAAAACATTAATATTTTGCACATGATGGCACTATATCAATTAGAAATCGATTATGATTTGGAACATTGTGGATGCCGGTTCAAGTCCTGGCCGAGATTTAATGTTTTTTCAATTTATAATTGATTTCTGATTTTAATTCATGTAAAATTTACTTTAACGTTTTTATAAGAGGAGGACAGACAGTTGATGAAACTATATAACATCTAAGAAATATGCGCGGTCGCCTTATTTCGGCAATAAAGGATCAAACGTAATTTGGATGGTGGTTAGTAAATCGTGTTCCAACTACCCATTTAATATAGTGGGAATATAGCCCCCACCCGGTCATCGGGCTATTGTAGTGAGTCCGTTATCCGCTATATTAAAAAAGGCATTCGACAAACTTGTAACTTATATCGCCGTAAAACCACTACTTTAAGAATTGCACCCCGGTTTACAAAATATAAGCGCATTGGGATTCGATCCAAGACATCTTTAATAAGATATCAGTTTGGCAACAAATATTCTGTGTCAATGGCAGTATAGTTACAAGTTAAAAAAATGCCTTAATTAACAAAATTCCAGGGTAACTATTACTTTGTCTATATTTATTCTATTTGGAAAATTTTTGTCAAAATGTATGGGGAATTTTTTTGTCTTTTATAAAGATTAAAGAAATTTCATAATTTTAAATAGACCGATTACGTAACTAACCCATAAATTACATAACGACCGCATGTTTAAATAAACCACTTTAACGGTTTAAAACGCGGTGTATAGTAATCTTATTTAAAATTTATTTTACTATAACCCAATGTTTCCAATAAGTTTAACTAATACATATCGCGTTTTATACCGTTGAAGTGTTTTAAATGTGTACTACTCGCGTAAGCTAGAGCGAGTATTGAACGAACACGTGGTTTAAAATTGCACCATCATAGGCATATTCCACATCGCTCCACAAAAAAGGAATAAATGAGAGGAGACACAATCTCAGTAAAATATTGACTCGTTGATAAGCAGTCGGAAACTTTTCATACTGTAATCGTCGACGATAAGTTATCATCATTTAGAGACAATTTATGGTCAAATAAATCTTTGTTTTCTGAATTCATATTTTTTTTTAATTAAAATAGATACGCAAGGAGCTCTGTACTCTTTAATGTTTTTTTTTCAATAAAATGCAATGATTTTTACTATAGAGTCGGGTTAAAAAAGTATTAGAAATATTAGAACATACTAATTTAAAAAAAAACAAAATTTCCTTTTGTAAATTTATCAGGTCCAATATCACATTTCAAATGAGCCTTGTTTAAATATTGTCCTCCTCTATGATTTTAAAGATAAGTATTTAAAACTTTTAAAGCGTCCTAAACGTTTAAGCTTATAAAATTAACCGAATACATATAACACAGGCTTACCTGTAAATAGGAACCCTTCAAGTTAAGTTTCTCAAACACCTCTTTCGGCTCGCCACATCTTGCCTTCACAATCAAATCGTTTCTAAGTTTATCATGTGAACTGTTACAGGTTACTGCAAGTAGAAAAAACAATGAATTAAAATAGTGCTTTGTATAGGTCCCAAATTTTAATATATTAGTTATGTAATTTATGATTGATTCAAGCTAAGTCCGGGGGTATACGTTATTTCACAGTTAAAAATAATTGGGTGGATAATTGATTGTTATCGTTGAATAAAACCTGACCTATAACATTCTACACTTGCCATCACTCAAAAATTACGTTCCCATTCAAGGCTCTTATCAGCGCAATGCGCGTACGCATCGTTTAAGTGGCACGCAAGTTGCATCAGACAGTCTTAAGTCAACGAACGTTTGAGAATTTTTAAGAAATTTGATCGTAATAAATGTTACAATTTTTTTAGTTGGAAGTCCATTTATCACCACATGTTTTAATTATCACAAAATAATCACCATTTTTAATAACACTTTGCACTTCAGTCTCCTCCGAGGCGGCGAACTTGGGAAACTTCGGGTGACGGCTGTACGCGTCCACCATCACAACCCCCAAGAAAAAAATTATCAGTCTAGCCATTTCTTGATCTTTCACTTGAAACTTTTCACGTCACTAAAACTTATTCTCACCTTACACTGTCACAACGTGTTACACCTTTCGCGGTCGGTTGTATTATGGTTGGTAGCGCGACGATTTTCTATTATAAAGCCTGAGTCAGCCTGTTAGGTGTTTCGTCCGTTGCGTCACAGCGCACCGCCCATAGACGTCGATATTTGCACAGGTGACGGCTACGTCACGTACGAAATTCTGCGAACGCTTCAGGTATCCTTTCGCTGCAGTTGCATCCGTATAGGACGAGGGAATACCGCGATCTCTATCTCCCTTCCGCTCCGTACTTCCCAAGCTAAGTCAGGCACGCGTGACCTCGGGTCTCAACCAATAAGACAAATCAAACGGTTGAGCTGGTCGCAGTGATTTCATAGTCTCGTCTCAGCTGATATTAGATATTATTAGAAGATATATTACAGCTTATTCACAATACCACAAAAACTACAAGACATAAAAACTTACGCACTAACTTATAAAAAGGCGGCATTATCGCTAAAAAGCAATCTCTTCCAAACAACTTGAAGTACAGGAGAAAAGAAATAATAAAAAAGGCTTATTAAGTGAGATGGTCTAAAGAATAATAAGCATAGAAAAGGTCGTAAAAACGTGTATATTTTATATAGCAAGAGAGAAACTTTTATAATAAATTAAAAAAAAAAACCACTTGCCTTAATCGTTACTTACACTATCAAATGTAGATAATACTATTGTTCTTTAATCTCAGCCTGCAATAAATGTATAGGTTGCAATGTTTGACATTAATGACGAAATACATTTTCAAAAAGCAAATCATATATATCATTTTTCACTTGTATGAAACAACCTTATCGGTTTAAAACGTGCAATATAGAATTAGCAAGAAGTGCAAGTCATTAGGTTGAAAAAATGCGACGATGAGACGTAGGAGTCTGTAGCTCCATTGGTTAGAGCAACAGCGCGGAAAGCTGTGGATGCCGGTTCAAGCCTTGCTCGTGTCGTAATTTTTAGAAATCTAAAATCGATTTTCAATTTATGTGTATTATGTGATAAGTTTATTTTTAAACCAACCCGACGTTCTTTTGTTTTGTGACGTTCGTAAGTGTACCTAATACATTGCCAGTTGAGATATCAAATTTATCAACAAATACGTTAAAAAAAGTAATACAATTTAGATCATCTCAAAAGGCGTATAATTGTTTAACAGACTTCTTTAATGACAGGGCTGCCTGGCAGTGATATGAATTGCTCCTTAGGTCATTAAATTCACAAAATGTATTATTTTGTAAGACATCTTGACCGGGTGATATGGGTGTTCTTTTCAGTTATGTTGCTATTTTGAACACTCTGTAGAATCACGAAGAATGGACAGGCAAACATATCATTTAATAATTTTTGGCGAATCTAAATAATTTTTATAATTTTACAGAGGATTAAGTATATATTTTTTATTTCATTATTGTATTTTATATTTCTCATTTATTATATCACGCAATATTTGAAATACGTTTAAAATTATAATAAATCAGAGCGAATAATATACAAAGTCTTCATCTACAGGTATTCCTAAATCACTAATAACTACATTTAATTTCCGGAATGGCCTTCAAAAGTGTTAAGACACTAAAACTCACTAAATCGTACATTTTGTTTCCCTGCTTCCATTAAATGACTTTAACAGGAAGGATATATGACTTTTGTAATAAAAAAATATAAATGCTGAATAATTCACATAATTGAAAGGATTATGATAAGCACGACCGATATGAAATTGAGGTGAAATATAAATTTCGGAAAATCCTAAAGGTTGATAAAGAAATACAATATCAGAGTGTATAAGATTTCCGACGCCTACAAGAATTTTATCAAACCAATACACGACTAGATCAATAACAATTCATATCTTAAGCTTAGATTTCATTCTTGTTCCCTTAATATTTCCTTATTTGTAGATAATAGTGTGACGAAACACAAAGCAATGCGCAAAATCAAACATTGTGTTAATACCATTTTTATTTCATTAAGCAAGTACTTAGTGCTCTACTGTTGTGAAGAAGTTTACTAAAACCAGCAGATAAAATTAAAGTAAATTTATAATATCAAATACATACTTTGAAAATCATAATCAAATTCAGTGTATCATTACGGCATAATTTGGTGCATGACAGACGATATATACACTTAAGTGTACTGCTAGTGTTGGTCTAATGTAATAGTGATTTTAACAATAATTAAGACAATAATATTATAAAACGCTACAATACTCTTTACCGTAACAATATTCCGTTTGAGTAACGCCTAGTTCCACTATTTAATTTTATGACGTAATTATGTAATAAAAACTACTCATTTCGTATAAAATGTTAGTACAACATCAATAAAATACATTTATCTAACTTTATAACACTTATTGCTATTATATCGATCCAAAGTGAAGAGTATATAAATGAATGAGACGTAATAAAAACTGTTTTACTTTACTCATAATAATAATTTAAATAAAACACATAACGATTTATATAACCTAAAACTGAACAAATACAAAATACGACGAAACAGATGGCGCTAGCGTAGCAGTTTGACTTTGACATTTGGGACCTCCTCTATCTTTATTCTTCACATGACCACGGCTGCTGCAAAGTGTCCGAAGCGCTCTCCATAATTAAATATAATTAAAAAGAAGTTAAGTAATACTTTTTGCCTCTAAAACTGTTACAAGTGTTTTATTCAAATATATACCACTCACGTAGACAGAAAAACATTTTAATGTAAAACAAACAAATAGTTGAAGTATTTTATATATCATCGTTATTCTAAATAAATTGTTAAATATCATGCTTTTGGTGACAAAAAGTCGATTTTTGGCATTTGTCAACCGAACGTGCCGTGGAGCGTTGGCGCCCCCAATTTCGATAAGATCCACTACTTCAAAGATTAAAAAAATTAACCAGTGCTTACCGTTACTTACTAATAATCATGCGTTGATCAGTTAAGTATTCGCTCAATTTCTGGTAACACGTTACGTTTTTTTAACCATAGCTATGTAACATGAAATTAGAGACTAATATTCTCTAAATAATCAGACATCTAGCATCAAATAACAGACATTTGGAATAGTAATCATTAAAAAGACAGATTAAATGAAAAGTTTCTATTTATTTATTGTATGTATATAACTTTATACATTATCAACACCAAAGGTTTATTTAATAAAAGTCTTATGAAATAACCAAAGGCGGTCTTATCGCTAATCAGCGATCTCTTCCAGGCAATCAAATGCTTTGCAAAAGTTATAAGCGATTTGCAAAAGCCGAGAGGACCGCTGTAATGTATCCGAAACGTTGTATCGTATAAAAAAATGCTAGTATATTTCAAATTTTAAATCGTTTTTTTTTAATTTAACAGTACTAAAATAATGACATTTATAAATATGGTATTACATCAAAAACCTAAATCTTTGATCATTTTTATGTTCATGTTATTTGCAAAAAAACACACAAACATTAAATACTGCCATTAAACTCGGTTAAGTTTACCTATCAATTACCTGCAAAAAATGTTCTGAAACGTCATCGATGACATCACTCCCACGAGTCATTGAGGCAACGGTGTTTCATGGTATAAAAAATGGTATACTCTACTGTGGTCCAATTAATGAGATTTTGCGATAAGCAATTTTACTGCCTTATACGTATGTAACGTTAATGTATTTGTTTGTACAAACGTAAAATAATATTTGAAATTTCATTGAAAACTAGCTGTTGCCAACGACGTCGTCCGCGTGCCACGTTTTCGCAAGTTAATCTTAAAAGATGTCTGTCTCTATATCGCGATTATTTTTATATACAGTGTAAACTCCATGTAACGTCACTCTATTTAACGACAAACTCTCTTAAGCGTCGAAATCAATTGGCTTTGGTTGGTTTAGCTTGTTTTTCATACGAATATTTTTTCTCTCCATTTAACGACAACTCTCTATAACGCCTAAAAATGCACAGTCCCTTCATTCGTAATAGAGCGATTTATCTCTTTTATACATTTTTTTGGTATCTTGAACAGTTTTCACAGCGCATGCAAGGGAAAACCTTCTTCGATTAATGTTCAACAAAAAATATTTTTTCAATCCTAACCTGTTCCGGAGATTAGCAAATTTAAACAAACAAACTCTTCAGTTTTACATATTAGTGTAGATATTTTATAAATTAAGTAATTTGCTATTTTTGAAAATGATGGTGATAATTCGTAGTAAAGTTGGGTCACTACGGTATTAAAAAGTGTATTTGTCATTAAAATTAAAATGATAATAATCCTAACAAGTGGAATAAGTGATTATTTTATTATTGATTTTATTACAGAATTTGCAACAGAAGTGACTAATACACTATATAAGCAACCGCGGGGTACAAAAATATATTCAACGCTTAAGCCAATAGAGAGATTTTATAAATGTCTCGTATTACAAGCTTTATGTTATTAATTTAGTTATTACAACAATACTTTATGTCTTTACGAATACATTAATAATTCATGACAATAGGAATAAAGAAATTCTGTCCGGATCACGAGCCACCGTAGATAAAAAAGACAGGAAGTATTACATCACGTTTCAGTTTCAGTCTATAGATATCCGAATGTCCAAAGCCAAAATCGACAGTGCATCTTACTTAGAAACTATTTGGTTGTGTTATCGCACTATTAAAGCAAAGAGACGATTTTTTTTCTCAATGACATGTAATCGCCTCGCGCTTACTTTTGTACCATATATTCAAATTAAATGTGAGGTAACATTCAGCGGAACACTGAAGGGTTACGTCGGCATTTCAGAGGCAAGATGTTAATTAATTTGTAAATAAAACGAAATTACGTGAATCAGGCACGGTCTTTCCTAATTATGTTGCAAGGGTATTTCTATTATAAGCGTGTGGAAGTTTTTATAGGGCCACGTTGGTCCGCGGGTTGTAGGTTCGATTTCTACTGGTGCATCATCTTAAATG